CCGGCGCTGGGTAAGGTGACCCGCACGTGACGGGGGAGCGCTTAGTCGAGGCTCCGCCGCCAAATTCCTGCCTGCCCGCCCCTCCCCAGCCAGGAGGAGGTTATCCCAGGTTAATTGCCAGCAGCCGCCGGAAAGGGACCCGGCCTGTTCGCACGACGCGCTCGCCCGTGTTTACCTGAGCAGGAGGCGGCTGACGTGATCCGGGGTTCTGCAGCGGCCGGCGGCTACGTGGGCAGAGCGAGCTCAGCGCGCTTGAGTTTAACCTCGGGAAGACTTCTTTGTGACTTCGCGCGTTGTGCAAAGCTCATTTGGTTTATTCGGGACTGGGGGCGATGTGAAACTGGGCATGTACAGCCCCGGAACTGGGGTCCTCCCCCGGCTGGGTTCGCACAACGTGCACTCGGCCAGTTCAGAGTGTTGACGGAATAGACGTAATCCTGGCAGAAATTTAACTCTGTTTCCACGACTTCACTTGCTAAAGGAGGATAGGGAGGGAATGCTTTTGGGGTTAACGGCTGGCAAACTCTTCCCCATTTCTTCCCAGGTAAAAAACCCCCCCCCCCCCCCCCCCCGCAAACTTGGTTGGTATCAAAAAGCTGGGCATTATTGGATCTGAGTAGTACTTAGCTGGGAGACCACCAGGTGATCCCAAAGTTCTCAATTAAACTTTACCAAATGAAGGCAGTAACAGACCATTTGCATTTCGTACCATGGAAAACTGGCTCTGGAATCAGCAGCAGACAAGCTCAACTTGAGGGAGATGTTACTTTAAGCCCTATTTTTAAGTGAGAGAGAGCTCCAGATGTTTTGGACTTCAACTCCTGGAGCCAAAAGCGAAAAACTGGCTGTGTTCATGTGACCTAGTTAAGCTAGTTCCTAAATTAACTCATTTTCTGGATTATAGAACACATTGAATTTACCAAAACAGCTACAAGGTTAAAACTAACCAAGTTGAGCATGTTGTATGAATGCAACTAACTGTTAGGTCTTTACATAACCTGATTTGGGATGTTGTATGAATACACCTGTTTGGAAGTGGAGGGCAGCTGATTGCTTACAATTGTGTAGCATAAGTTCTGCTGTCTTTAAACAACACACCATGGTGCAATCCAATTTCCTGAGTTTGCACAACACATTGAAACATAAATAAATGATAGTTGTTTTGAGCCACACGCGAAGCTTGAATGTACTTGGCTAATTTGTTTTTTTCTACTTTAATTATTTCCTAAAGGGGGATTTAAAAAGTCAGATAAATGGCAGGGCAATCAACTATAATTCTAAGTAAATATAACTGGCTAAACTTGTTGAGGTTGTGATGGGCAAGACCTTAATTGTTGGCCTCTTCTAGCGTGTACCTGAGACTGCAAATGATACTGACGTATTGCCTGTACAAGACTTTTCATAATAAAAATTCAACTCTTTATTTCCAGATGGTATCACTAGGCACTCCCAAAATTATATCAGTTTATACACAAGGTAATCCATCCCGTTTTCTTGCAGCTCAATCCAGATTGAATGCCACCTTTGCTTCCGTTCTTATAGTTATCAACATCAGTTGGCAATTCCCATTCTGCTGCTCGCATGGCTTTTGTGGTAGCAGGAAGATGTTGAGAAAAAACCTCTGGCTTCTGTCTTGTGTTGCCTCCACGAAATAAGAAGGTCTCTGTGCTATAAAACCTTCCAGCAGAAGCCAAACTGGGACCATATTCATGGTTTGAGAAGGAAGCCTGCCCAGAAGATGAGTCTGTAGGATTTCATGTGAAGGGTAACTGAATGAGATGGCAAGTGCTGGGGGTCTCAGGGTGGATTGTACACTTTACTTAAAGGTCACCTTTCTTGAATATTCTTCTAGGTAAGAAATTGGCATTGCAAAAAAAAATGGACAGGAGCAATGTGTTTTTAGAATGTGTCCGAATTTTCTCTTTTTAAGCTTTTTAAGTGGCGTCTCTATAAATATATTTGTTTAAAAAGGAAGTTTCTTAACATACAGGGTTTTTCAAATAAATTTTATTGAAGACATTTTTAACAACGTATAAACCATAAAAGAAAATAAAGATAATAAAGAAAAATAGTTAATAGTGAAAAAAGGAAATAGAAAAAGAAATAGAAAAGGAAAAGAAAAGAAAAGAAAAATGATAAAGAACCGGCTTCCGGTCTTCTTGATAGTGGTTACGGATACATTTATATTTTGTCCTTTCTCTCTAAAGTAACGTCATAATTTCCTGCTTTCCATAAGCTACCCTAATGTTCAAACCCATAAATCACATATTCATTTTTCTCTTTTTTCAGCAAAAAGCCCATAAAGGTTTCCAGTTACTGATAAATGTAGTTGCCGATCTTTCTCTAACCAAACAAGTCAATTTTGCCATCTCTGCTAGTTCTGTCATCTTCACCAACCATTCCTCCATTGTGGGTATTTCAGAGCCTTTCCATTTTTGCACATATAATAGTC